CCTCGCCCGCCAAGTCAGCACCTCGGCACTCCAAGTCTGATCTCCCGCCCACGGAGAACCGATTCAGCATCCTAGCGGCGAACAACCAACAGTACAGGCTCATCGAGCTCGGCAACACAGAGGCCAGCAGCGCCAGTACCAGGCCCACTCAACAACGAAGATGCCGGCGAAGTCACCGAACTGCCACCCATGTCCTGCCCGAGCTCCGAGGTAAAGAAGAGACAAGCTCGAACGAGGTAAAAGCTGCCCCTATTCTCTCAGTTCCTTCCCCCCTCTCATCGGAATTCCTTGCAGTCCCCATGCCCAGAGATTTCAAACTCCCCGCTATAGACAAGTATGATGGGTCCTTCGACCCCAACGACCACGTCGATGCCTTCCAGTCCCAAATGCACCTAGCAATGGCCAGTGAATCATGCATGTGCGTGGCCTTCACCACCACCTTCAGGGGGGTGGCCCGCACCTGGTACAGGAACCTGGCCCCCAGGTCAATAAGAAGCTAGACCCAGTTCGTGCAGGTCTTCACCGCACACTTCATTACCAGCAAACGGTGCCCCAGAACCGAGGAAAGCATCTTCGGAGTAGTCCAGAGGGAAGGAGAGTCCATCCGGGGCTACATCAGGTGGTTCAATGACGCGTGCTTGCAGATACTGCGACAGGACCCCGTGGTGCAGCTCGTGGCGGCCAAGAGAGGAGTGACACACAAGGAGTTCAAATGGCACATGGTAGCTAGCCAGCCCACGACTGTAGCCGAATTCCTCAAGCTCGCGGATAAGTTCATGAGAACAGAGGAGGAGATCAACCAAAGGACCGAAAGCGGAATTGAGAAAAGGAAGAAGGAAGGCGAGCCCTCCAACCCATATGACAGAAGAAAAAACCCAGCCCGGGAGACGAAGCCGACCTAGCCGTTCCGAGCTCCCTTAGCAGCTCGGACGGACTACACACCCTTAAACACGAGGCGGGCCGAGATCTTGATGATGATCAAAGACGCCCCGTACGTAAAATGGCCACCTCGCCTAAAGGGGAACCCAAACGAGAGAAACAAAAACCTGTACTGCAGTTTCCATAGAGATCACGGTCATAGTATCGAACATTGTAATAATCTCCGGGACAAGATAGAGGGACTCATCCGTCGCGGGTACTTGAGAAATTTTGTACAACATAATAATAACAATAATAATAAGACAGGTCGGCAAGGGGAGCACGGTAGGGATGCCCCCGAATCTAGCAGCAGGCCAGCCGAACCGTCGCAAAGACAGCCTCCGGAAGAGAGACCAGTTCGGGGAACCATCCACGTGATAGTGGGAGGTTCGGTGGTAGCAGGTTGTACTTCGGCAGCGGCCCGGGCGTTAGTTCACGAAGCTGCCCGAGAAGAACAAAACCCTCCGAAGAGGCCGAAGGTGGAGGAACCGATTTTCTTCTTGGAAGACGATGCGCGAGGGGTCACTACCCACACGATGATGCGCTTGTCATAAAACTAAGGATCAACGACTTCGAAATCAGGCGCGTACTTGTTGATTCAGACAGCTCGGCGGACATTCTCTTAAAGTCGGCGTTTGACCAGCTTCAGTTGCAGAGAAGCAAGTTGAAGCCCGCGAACACTCCTCTGGTGGGCTTCAGCGGAGAGGAAGTCAGGCCCCTCGGGAAAATAACAGTACCTGTGGAAGTCGGCACATGGCCCTGTGGGGTCAGACTCAACCACGATTTCCTGGTGGTCGTGACCCCCTCCCCATACATTGCCATAATAGGGCGGCCAATCACTCATCTCCTACGAGCAGTGGTCTCCACCTACTACTTGGCAATGAAGTTTCCTACAGACTTCGGTGTGGGGGTAGCGCGGGGTGACTAGCTTGAGTCCCGCAAGTGCTATGTTGCCGCCCCGAAGGGAAAAACCAAGGTGGCCGACGACCACGAACTGGAGCGGCCTACGGAGCAAGGCGAGGAACAAGCTTCGCCCACAGAGGAAACGGTTGCAATCCCAACTTCAGCTGCGGACCCGACTCGGACGCTACAGATCGGTGCCTCCGTCCAGAAACCTCTACGAACCAAACAGGTGAGTTTCTTACTTCAAAATTTAGATATTTTTGCATGGTCCGCGGCCGATATGCCCGGTATTGACCCCAGCCTTATAACTCACAAACTTAATACTG